TTCTGTGATTCTGTGATTCTGTGATTCTGTGATTCTGTGAACTTTTGGATGTTGTGCTGAGGGACGTGGTTTAGTGAGAACCATTGGTGATGGGTGGATGGTTGGACTGGATGATCCTGTGGGTCTTTTCCAACCTCAGTGATTCTATGATGATTCCTGATACTCTCTCCCCTATAGGAATGTGACCCTGGGCTCTCTGTCCCCTGTCCCCATCTCCATCCCCTGTTCCTAACTGCTGTCCCTGTTCCCATCCCCACACCCATCCCTATTATTGTTCCTCTCCCTGTCCCCATCCTGGTCCCCTCTCTCCCACAGGGGTGTAGCCCCAGTATCTCTGACCCTATCCCCATCCCTATCGCCTTTCCTGTCACAATTCTTGTCCCTGTCCCCATCCCTGTCCCCTGTCCCCGTTCCCTCTGTCCCCATGCTATTCCCCAGCATGGGGATGAGGCCCTGGACTCCACGTCCCCTGTCTTCAACCCTGTCCCTATTTCTGGCCCCATCCCTGTCCCTGTTTCTGCCCCCTGTCCCCATTCTCTGTCCCCACTCCCCGTCCCTATTGGTGTCCCTGTCCCTGTTCCCTTTCCGCCAAGCTCCGCCCACTTCGCTCAGGCCCCGCCCCCCACCAACTCCCTTACAGCCCGCGACACGCCCCTCATCTCGCCACGCCCCCTCCCTCCTGCTGATTGGTGGGCGCCTGGTGACGTCACGAAAAGCCCCTCCCCCTTATGACCATATATAGTTCGGCGATCCTTATATGGGCATGTGGGGGCGGGGCTTAAGCTCGACAGGCCCGCACGTGGGCACGCGCAGCGGGGGACACGCTGACGGGTTTGCACGAGCGTGTGCACACGCAGGTTCGTGTGAACCCGTTTTTCCACATGCACGCGCATGGGGGGGAGGTCCGCGCACACGTCCATGCACGCGCACGTGCACACAGATATTTACACACGTGTGCACGTCCGTGTGCAAAGATCGGTGCACGCAGACATGCATGCGCGTGTGCCCTTGCACTCACACACACACGTGTCCACGCACGCACTCGTGCACGCCTCACCACCCTCCTGGAGCCCACTGCACGCTCACACACACTCGTGCACACGCAGGAACCCATGCACCCACACGTGTCCTCGCACCCTCCCGGTGTGCACTGCACACTCACATCGCTGCACACGCACACCGTGCAGACCTCCACCCACGCGCGGATTCGCACACACCGAGCAAACGGACAGACGGACACCGGGACCCCGCGTGGGGCAGCTCTGGGTCCGGCAGAGCCTCAGGAGGAAGGGCGGCTCCGGGTCTCCGTCGGAACCCCCCCGCCCCAACCCAACCCCGGGGAGCCGCCCCCGGAGCCGCTCCCCCCCAGGCGACCCTCGGGGAGGAGAATTTACTTTTCTCTCTCCTCCTCCTCCGGCTCTCCGTCCCCATCCCTCCGTCCGCACCGCACTCCTCCTCCCGTCCCCTCCTCCCGCCCCGTCCCCTCCCCGCGTCTCCCGTTCAGTTCCTCCCTTCCCCACCCTTCCCCTCCGAAGCCCCGTTTCTCCATCCCGGGTCTCCTTCCTCCTTCCCGGTTGCTCCAGCCCTTCTCCATCGCGGAGCTCCACTCCTCCATCCCGCATTCCCTCCATCCCCATCCTCTTCTCCCCTTTCCCATCCCGCAGTTCCCCGTTCTCCAACTCGGGCTCCTATTTCCAGCCCGGAGCTCCCGATTCCCATTCCCGGTCTTCCCTTCTCCCACTTCGGACCTCCCCGACCCCCATTCCCCGTTTCCCCCTCTCCCACCCTAAAGCTCCGGATCCCCATTCCCGGTGCCCTCTTCTCCCACCCGGGCTCTCCCCGTTCCCTATTCCCGGTGCTGCTATCCTCTCCCATCCCAAATCTCCCCTCGTTCAGTCCCCTTGCTCTCCTCTCCCATCCCGGAGTTCCCTTCTCCCATCTCACTTCTCCCTCCCACCCCGGAGCTCCTTTTCCATCCCCGATATCCAGTTCTCAATTCCCGGTGCCCCTCTTTCACCCCAAACCTCCCTTCCTTCCGTCCCATCTTTTCCCGTTCCCTATTACGGAGCTCCCTTCTCCCATCCCGGCTCTCTCCTTTTCTCCACCCCGGAGCTCTCTCCCCATCCCCTATAACCCGATTCCCATTCCCTGTGCCCCCCTCTCCTACCCCGGCTCTCCCCGTTCCCTATTCCCGGTGCTATCCTCTCCCACCCCAAATCCCCCCTTCTCCCACCCCGTTGTCCCCCGTTGCTCCTTTCCCCCGCCCCGCCCCCAGTTCCCCCCTTTCCCACCCTAAATCTCCCCCCTCCCA